TTTTTTTTTTTTTTTTGGCAGAGTCTCACTCTCACCGAGGCTGGAGTGCAGTGGTGTGATCTTGGCTCACTGCAACCTCTGCCTCCCATGTTCAAGCAATTCTCCTGCCTCAGCCTCCTGAGTAGATGGGATTACAGGCATGCACCACCACGCCTGTCTAATTTTTGTATTTTTAGTAGACACAGAGTTTTGCCACGTTGGTCAGGCTGGTCTCAAATTCCTGGCCTCAAGTGATCTAGCTGTCTTGGCCTACCAAAGTGCTGGGATTACAGATATGAGCCACCATGCCTGGCCAGTGGCATTTATTTCTAATGTAACTGCAATCTGTAAGGAAACATGCCTCTTACCCCTCTAAATTTTTGATTCTTAAGTCCCTCTGTCACTTCCTTACTTTCACCCATCATGGCTGTCTTTCCTGCCCAGAAGATATGACCATGTAGCTGTAGGCCTGAGTCAGGAACTCCCTACAAAATACTGTGGGTTTGGGTTTGGTTTGGGGCACCAGTCTCACATGGTGGTAGAACTCTAGAGGGTGAGGAACCCATTAAGGTTTCATGAACTCTGTTCTTTTTGATGAGTGCTTCACTCGTCCCTGTCACCTGTTACCTCCCCATTGCTCCAAATAGGATTCTCTCTCCCTTTGGCCCACTCTAGTAGTAGTAGAGTCTCATAAATGGGAAACTTCAAAGATTCCTAAGGGATTGAATACTAATAACTTAGAGTGACCAATATGCTAAGAGGAAGAAGCATCCCTTTCATGACTTCTTCCTCTTTCATCCAATTTGGTCTGAAAAAAAAAATAGAAAGTTATCTATAGACCCTACAGTGAGAAGATTTCGACATAGTGTCAAAGGTACTCTGTATTTCCAAGGACATGCCTGACAATGAATTTTACAAATATCAACTTCTCTTTCATTGTTTTATGTTTCTGTGTGTGTATGTGTATGCATGCGTGTACGTTGATAGAAGTATGTATTTATGTGTATATATGTGTATATACACTTACATGTATATAAATCTTTGTTTTTAACTCACATATCATGGGTGGCTCTATCATAGGTTACTACCGCCAACTCAATTGGCTGTGGGCTGAGGAATTATAAAAGCATATTATTCAGATACAAACATAATTTGGACTTACACTTTTGGTCAAATAGCCGCAGTTACTCTAGACATGAGTCTACCTGCCAAGGAATGCTAAAGATTGCCAGCAACCAGCAAAAGCTAGCAAAGAGGTATCAAACAGATTCTTCTTTATAGCCCTCATAAAAAGCCAACCCTACTGACAACCTCAATTTCGGATTTCTAGTCTCTAGGACTATGAGATGATTCATTTTTGTTTAAGACACTTGGTTCATGATACTTTGTTAAAGCAGCCCTAGAAACGAATATAGCCCAACCTGGCAGAGTCTCATACATAGGCAATCCACCAGGTTTCTAAAAGTTTTGGCTACTAGTCAACTCAGCTAGGAAGAAGTAGACTTCTTGTGATCTATTTATCTTGTATCCAACTAGACCCAAAAAGAAAAGGATGTTACATACAGAAGTTGAAACTACCAGTACTTTAGAAACAGTGTCCAAGAAACTCTATATTTATTTAACATTTGTTAGCTTACTTAAGACCTAATTTTTTAGAAAGAATTTTAGAATCGGTGTCCAGAAAACTATTTTCCCATGAATAATTCTAAGACTGAATTTCACAAACCTGAATTCCTCCCATCTTCAATATATATTATGACATCACCTTTCATTGTTGACTCCAGCACAGATTTCTGATGTCAATTCATTGGGATCAGTGCAAAGGATTGAAAGGTAAGTAGTAAGAAACAACGTAAATGCATACACTACTCTTTTTTTTTGGTTCAAATTGGCTATGATTGCGCTACAAATCACAATGTGTTGTCCCTAAAAATTATCATGTATATCTGTTACTTGGCACCTGGTACTTCATTTTTCTCTAGAAAAAGGTCTTTATGTGTTGGTAATAAAAATTGTTTAGGACTCTTTAAAAACTTTAATGAAACAAGATTTAAATACAATTCTTTCTTACTGAATCTGGTCATCGTGTATGACAGCAAATTTAACTTAAATTTGCTTCAAATTCATGTTCCATTTGTAGGCACACGTTGTTCTTGCCCATTTTGATTTCCTAATTATCAAGTCCCTCCACCACCTTCATGCTCTTCATGAGTCACAGATATCTTTGCTTCCCTTCAAATAGGATCAAGTGACTAAACCTGAGGCAGGGGCTCCATCCAATGTGATGATGGCTTTGAGTTTGGGGTACCAGCTCTGAAGGGTGAGGGACAGATACAGGGTCTCTTAGCTCCTTTCTTTCTGCTGAGGGCTCCTCTGCTGCCTGTCCGACGCTACCACCTTCTTTCTCCAAGTAGGATTCTCTCCTCTCTTGGATTGCTCTTGAGAGAGTCTCATACATGGGCATTCTGATAGTTTCCTAAGGGTTTTGGCTGCTAATTACTAAGGGTCACAAACAGTCTTTTGAGTACCAAGTGTGCCTCTTCTGACCTGATCTTATTTTTTCCACTCTGGTTCAAAAACAATGTTACCTAAAGATGCTTAAAGTCTCTTATAGAAAGCTGTTATTACCATTGATACTCTCAGTATTTTTCACCACTTAGATCAGTCAACTCACCCATTGTGGTCATAGCTGTCAGAGCATACAGTAGGATCTGTTAATGAATCCATAATTCTACCAAAGAGTAAAAAGCACATACAAAAAAATAAAGTCAGATATTATGAAAGGCAATCAGGATGTTAATCTCGACAGTATTTCAGGACATGAAAAATAAAATCAGAGGAATTTTGACAAGAACTAAAGAAACAATCTCAGGGTACAGTACTAGAATTTGTGTGTTTTTTTTTGTGTGTGTGTGTGTGTGTGTGTGTGTGTGTGTGTGTGAAAGAGAGAGAGAGAGAGAGAGAGAGAGGACACAGAAAAAACAAAGAAAATGTAAGAATAATGAATGTTTCGATATCAATGGCTAGTTCCTGGTCATCCTTGGTAGGAAATAAACAAGTAGGTTGAGTCAAGCACAGCCTAAATTATGTTTAAGACATTTTGTGAACTTAAAGTAGATTATATGTTTAGAAAGATTTTGTTTTCTATTTGTCTGTACTCACTTTTTTAAAGTTATATGGCTATATTTTACAAAATCAAGACTTCCCAGCACCAAAAC